CAGGCCAAAAACAGACTTCTGTGCATGGGCCACGAAGTTTCAATCGCACTGGACGTGCGCGCCCGCATGTGGTATTTTGTGGAAGAGCCACACTCAAGGGGTCAAAGAGCCGCATGTGGCTCTCGAGCCGCGGTTTGCCGATGCCAACCACTGGGTTAGGGCAAATGTACTTTTCTATGGCCCAGAAGTTCTACATTTTGGTATTTACCCAAGAGAAATAAAAATATGCCGTAGCTAGTTTGGCTCAGTGGATAGAGCATTGGCCTATGGACTAAAGCAGTGGTTCTCAACCTTCCTAATGCCGCGACCCTTTAATACAGTTCCTCATGTTGTGGTGACCCCCAACCATAAAATTATTTTCGTTGCTACTTCATCACTGTAATTTTGCTACTGTTATGAATCGTAATGTAAATATCTGATATGCAGGATGTATTTTCATTGTTACAAATTGAACATAATTAAAGCATAGTGATTAATCACAAAAACAATATGTAATTATATATGTGTTTTCCGATGGTCTTAGGCGACCCCTGTGAAAGGGTCGTTTGACTCCCAAAGGGGTCGCGACCCACAGGTTGAGAACCGCTGGACTAAAGGGTCCTGGATTCAATTCCGGTCAAGGGCTCATGACCAGATTGCGGGGCTCAACCCCCCGTAGGGGGTGTGCAGGAGGCGGCTGATCAGTGATTCTCTCTCATCATTGATGTTTCTATCTTTCTCTCCCTCTCCCTTCTTTTCTGAAAACTATATTAAACACATACATATACACAGGCTGGAGGACCCGCCCAGGCTGGCAGGTGGCCCGTCACCCTCAGGGCCTGTCAGCGGCTCTCCCATCCTCGCACAAGGCTCCTCCTTCATGGCGCAAGTGGTTGCTTGGCCTGCAGCCACCACCTCCCCATCCCAGCCACGCGGGGAGGGAGCAGCGGGGGCCACTGCTTTTCCCTCAGGACTTTCCCGCAGCTGCAGGCTCCCTCCTCCAGCTCCGGGTGGGCGAGCAGGGAGCCACCTGCCTGAGGGGTGAGCGGTGCACAGTCCTACATGGCGCCGGCGGAGCCCCACTGAGAGTGGGAGGAGGAGGGGAGACAAATACCAGGGGACCGTCAGCAGGCGCCTCTCACGCCTGGGCTTTAAATCCCTTGAAGTGAAGAAATTGCTTCCGCAAGGAGTGGGAGCCGGAAGGAGTGGGAGCCGGAGCTCGGCCTCGCCCTGCAGTGCGCCCGCCGACCGGTCCTGTCCGAGCCATGAGTATTCCCGCCGGAAGCCCAGTTCCCCGCAAGCCCTTCCCGCAGAGCTGGACCCTCCAGCCGCGGCGCCCGCACGCGGTCCCTCCCGGGCTCTGGGCCAGGCTGCTCCCACAGCCCAGGTTCGTTTCGGAGAAAGCCCGGGTTCCAGGAGCCACAGGGCAGGGCTGGTCGGTTGGGCGGGTGGCCCATTAGAGGGGGTGGTGAGAGCTGCGGGGACGCTGTGTGGGGGAGCCCTCGGCAGAGGAGGGGAGGCAGCCATGGCCTTGGGCAGGGTCAGGCCTGGGAACAGCATGGATGGGCTCAGAGAGGAACAGTGTCCGACCAGTCACAGTGGCACGGAAATGGCCATGCGGCCAATCAGAGCCGGGCCTCCACGGCTGGTGGTGGGGGACCTATCTGGGGAGCAGCGGGGTTGGGGAGAGGGACCTCTGTTAGGGGGAGGGGCTGGAGGGAGGGGCAGCAGGGCCAAGGGAGCTGGGGGCTCAGAGCGTGGAGGGACAGACTGCCCTGAGGGACCAGTGTCTCACCCAAGCCAGGAGCTGACACCACTGCCCGACTGTCGATTGGACTGTCGAGCTGAGAGGCTGGGGTCCGGCCAGGCCTGGGGGCTTTACTGACAAGGTGGCAGGGGGCGAGGAGGGGCCGTCACAGGACAGGCGTGCCCCTGGGCCGGGTCCCACCGGAGTACAGGGGACCCGACCCACTGGCTCTAACTAGGAGACTATGACATCGAACAAATTAAGGAAAATCAATCCCACTTCAGAGGAAATGGGAACAGTCAGGATGTGAGCAGCGTCTTTAAAAAGGGCGTGTCTGGGGAGGGTCTGGGCAGGGCGGTGTGAAGTCAGACCCCCTGGCCTGCCGGGAGCTGGGTCCCCCTAAGCCCGAGGCTGGTGCGAGCACCCAGGCCTGGGGTGGAGGGAGCCCAGCCACCGAGGCTCCTGCGTTGATTGATGGGAGAAAAGGCCGTGCAACCCGCCCGGCGAGGTGGCTGGCAGCTGGGCTGGTGGGCAGGAGGCTGGGGACGCAGCAGCTGACTGGTCCTTCGAGGGAAGAAAAGGAAAAGGAGGGCTCTGCTGTGTGGTGGGCAGCAAGGTGGGTGGGACCGAGTGGGTCCGCTGGAGCAGGAGCTGTGAGGAGGGGACCTGGGGGCCAGGACAGTGCTGAGCAAAGGGCCCCCACATACTGCTGCATCCAGTCCCCCCCACCCCCCGCCCCAGGCCTCCACGTCCTGAGGCCTGAGGCCCGGTTCCTGCCCAGGAACCCTAAGTGCCCTGGGCTGCGAGCATGGGGGCTGTTGCAGAGCGGGGTGGGCGACCCCCTAGTTCAGTGGTCGGCAAACCGCGGCTCGAGAGCCACATGCGGCTCTTTGGCCCCTTGAGTGTGGCTCTTCCACAAAATACCACATGCGGGTGCGCACGTCCAGTGCGATTGAAACTTCGTGGCCCATGCCCAGAAGTCGGTTTTCGGAAAGGAGATAGACGAAACATGTATACAAGACGAGTGTGGATGGGAGAGTTGGAAGGGGTCGACCTCAGCGAACGTACCTCTATCAGATTGAGGACGTTTTTAGCAAAGGCCAGCTTAGGAGTACCCTAATGAAGTTAATAACAATGTACTTACCTATATAGTTTAAGTTTAAAAAATTTGGCTCTCAAAAGAAATTTCAATGGTTGTACTGTTGATATTTGGCTCTGTTGACTAATGAGTTTGCCGACCACTGAGCTAGGTAGAGGGGAGGATGTGGCCCAGAGCATCCCATGAGGATAAGCGCTTGCTGGGACAGTCTGAGGTGAGGACACGGGAAGGATGCAGGGAGCAGGCCACCCAGGAAGTTGCAGCTGCTGGTCACAGCCGAGTGCTGGGTGTGACCAGGGCACGGAGAGGGAGGCAGGGCTGGGGGGCAGCAGCCACGAGGGGAGCGGCCCAGCAGTGGAGGCCTGGGCCCCTCCGCCCCCCTGGTCCTGGGCCCGAGGGGCATCTGAAAACCAACCGAGACCCCAGGCCCTGTCACCACAGACACAGCACACCGGCTCCTTTTCAGGGTTTATTTCATCAGTAACATTCGCTCTTGTCCTCGACAAAAACAATTGGATTATGACTTGTCTCCCATCAACTCAGTTTTTTTGTATGAATAACCAAAGATTTCTTCTCAACACTTTGTTTTTAAACAAGAAGCTATAAATAAATAAAGCTTTAAATGCTCCTTGGTCCACGTTAAACACTTCCAGTTCTCAGAGTTCAGGCTCCGGCACACTGGCCTGGCTGCCCAGGAGGGGCCTGTGTGGGGAGCGAGGGTCCCTCCCTGTGCTGCTCCTTCCTCTCAGCGCAGGAGGGGTCTGGGCGGGGCCACCTGTGCCACCGAGGAGCCCTGCCCTGGGCATAGCAGCAGAGTCTGTAGGCACGGGGACCCTTCCTCGTCCAGCAGGTGGCCTGTGTGGGACGTGCGAGGGGCTGCGGGCGAGCTGCTTGCCCGCACCTCCTCTGGGCGCCTCCGTCTGGGTGCTGGCCGAGACAGCACTGCTTTCCAGACACAGTAAGGGAACCGAGGAGGGACAAGTTTCCATGGGAACGGGCACAGGCCGTGGTTGAAACATTCCCCCGCGGGTGGCCAGGTCCTGGCTCAGGTCACCCCGGAACCACTGCAGCAGAGCCGGCCGCGGGGCGAAGGGCCTGAGCATCCGGAGGCGGCCGCTCCCAAGCTCCTGCGCCTGCAGCTGTGCTGAGCGTCGGTGCAGACCCCGCCTCTGCCATGTTGTCCTCTGCTTCCCTTTAAGGGCCACTAACTAAGTCACCCGGGTGCTGGTCTCCACATGCCCGCCCACCCCTGGGCGGCCCTGGGCTGAACTGGCTCAACGCCCACCGGCCCGCTGGCTGCTCTGCCTTGGACACAAGATGGAGTGGCCAGTGCAGGAAGCTGACAGGACAAAGCCCTGCCCTGTGGACAGCCGCCTCACGGACCCCAACTGGCGTCCTGTGACCAGAGGCTCCTGCTCGCACCCTCCCTCCCTGGGGTAGCGGGGCTGGCGGGACCTGGGTGGGACCCGCCTGTGAGGCTGCTCCCCTGGCTGGCTCGTGAGCGGCCTGTGCTCCACCCGCTGCCTCTCCTGGAACGGGGCACGGGTCCTCCTCAGTGTGGGGCTCACTCAGCTCCCCGGAACCCAGGTTTTGGGCCTCATTTGGAAGGGTGTGCCTCAGAGCATGGCGTTCCAGTTTGCAGGGCCTGCCAGCCTTGGGTGAGGGGGGCGGGGCAATGCTGGGAGCCCAAGGGTGGGTGCCAGGGAGCCTGGAGCCGTTTCTCCTGACCAGGCAGGAACCCGAGAGCCCGCACTCCTGTCCTGCTGTCCAGAACCACCCTGGCCCGAGCTGGACGGGTATACATGGGCCGGAGGGGGGCTTGGGGGCGGAGAGCAGTGGGGTGGGGCTCCAGGCCAGGCAGTCCTCACAAGTACCAGGAGCCAGAGGACAGGGCAGGGGCCCTCAGCTACGGCCCCTGACTGAGCTGGGCTGATGGGGGCACCCAACGGCGGGCTCAGGGGCAGCCTTCCCGCTCCCACTCCTGGCTGCACTCTCCATGCCTCCGTCCCTGAGG